CAGCCACTGACAAGTGAACGTTGAACAATGATCTGAGAATGGCCGTTGAATGATATGTCCTTGTCGCAGCACTGTACAAAGTATCAAGCACGCTCCGGCTGAGAAGATCTCGGCCTCCTTGGCCCAAGTCCTGCTCACTCCAGCCACGACCACACAGGATGGACCAGTTCATCATGACTTGCTTAATGAATGTTTCGATTTCTGCGCGCTCTTCGTCTGCTCGCGGAAAGGCAGTCTCTCCAAGTAAGAGGGCTTGATAAGCCGCCTCTGCTCGCTGGAGTTCCACCCTCAATTGGCTTCGAGCAGACATATCCTCAACCATCTTCTCGGCCTGTCCGGTTGGATATGGCAAGTCGTTCTCCAAGATTCGAGAGAGTGCCAGATAGTACTCATTCCAGATCCTCCTCCGGGGTACGGAGCCCTTGAACCCGAACCCGCCTGTAACGGGGGCGGACATGATTTTCCAGTATTTTGCCCAAGATCGAAAGCTGGAGATGGAATTGGGGTCGTCCAGGGAGATTTCGCTGTTATGAAGTGCCTCGCTGGTGAGCATACAGTGCTCGGTTAGGAACAGCTCTGACCAGTACCGCAACTGCTTACGGATGCCATGGCCACCCCAGACTCGATCCAAGGACGGGAGGCCTTTCTGTAACGCAGCAAGCGCTGGTATTCTGTGTCCATCTCTCATCAAGCAGTTGGCCCTGAGGTAGGCAGCTTTCAAAGCACACACGCTTGTCCATTCCGACGCTGTGTTTGCCGGGTCGATATCCGGGTATTGCTCGTTGAGGCTCTTGGGCAGTCGTTCCAGCGCCAAGGTATACTCGCCAACCACCCAGTGCAGCCATCCAACGCAGACCTGGGCCTGGAATCGTTCCTCGGGGCGGGTTTCGGCCTCAATCACAGCCATAAGCTTCGGAAGTCTGTTGGGCACGTCGAGGTCGGTTGGCTGTGTGCCAGCAGCGGTGACTTTGGAGATGGCGCATTCTGTCTCGGCGGTCAATGTCAGACCTGTGGCGAGCCAGTTATTTCGCGGTTAGCTTCCATGAGTAGGCGACAATTGGGGGGTTCGGGTCCATGTCGTCGACGTACATTCTCGCGCCGGATCGTGTTTGCGGACCTTGCGAACCAGCTCTGGAACGTCGGCCCAGTTGCCCTCGCAGCGGGCATCGTCCAGCAGGTCGGCATAGCGAGCTGCCTTTGTCTAAAGATGATGGCGGTACGTTAGTGTCTGGTTGTCAATCGTCAGCTCCAGCTGCAGCTGTCTTACAGTCATTTTGCGACCAGCTCGGCTCAGGGGGGAGAGTCGTATTCCGGGATAGGTTACAGGTAGCCAGCAGCTGTCCAGCTCCCAGATGCACACGCAGCTTAGCACACAAGGCAAAAACAGGTGCCGCTGACGAGTTGATGTCAAGCTTCAACAGCCAGCCTCTTGCACGCAAAAACGACGGAGTCGCGATGACGCGAAAAGGGGGGGTGAGGCTCTTGAGAGATGAACAATGTCCAAAGGGAGGCTGGAGCATGTGGCAGAGGCAAATCCTCCATAGGGACCCTTGACGTAGTGCAGCTCGTGGCTGTACGCGGACCCGACGTTTGAATGACCAGCTGGGATTAATGCACGCTCAGGCGGCGACTGGTAATTACAGCGCCTAATTGGCAGCGGGTTGGGGCGCCTGTCACTAATACGAAGCACTATCGCTGCACTGGACATGCACGGGAGGGCAGCAATCTCCAGTGTCAGTTGCGGCGGAACGTCGGGCGGCCAATCAGCGGCGCCACGCGGAACCCCACGAGCCTGACAAGGTACCTGAACCTTGCCCAAACAAGCAACAGGAAAAAGAAAAAAAATCGAGTTTGCGATTGCATCAAAGCGAATACTGCAACAGCCGGAAGCTCAAAGCAGTGCACGAAGAAGCCAATTGGTGATAATTTTGAGGTTATTTCCATCTCAGAGGCACTGAGTTTACTTTTACGCCGAAACTACAAGTGTCACTCACCTCGGGTGGGCTGCAAGCTTGTTGATATCGAAATCTTCTGTCTCCCTGCTGGTGTCACTCAGATCAATATCTTTTGAGAACTCTGCAATCTCACCTCATATCCTCACCTCATCTCATCTCATTATATCCGGCATCTTCCCACTCCGAAATGTCTTCTTCAGCTTCCACAGACCTTCGGGTCCTCACCCGGAAGCTCACATCCATCCCGCCGGCGCAGCTCCCTCACTCTCTCCCTTCTCTCATCCGCCATGTCCTTCGATGCCGCGATGCGCTATCCGCCCCTCAGGACCCAAAGGCCAAAGGCGATGCGTCTCAGACGGCCATGCTTGTGCACAAGCTCAAGACTAGCATTACCACCCACCTGAACGGCCGAAGTCGCGAGGGCAGATTCGCTGCCATTGGCCTCATCAAGGCCGCTGTCGATGTTGGTGGCTGGGAAACTCTCCGTGGCTCTGAGGCTTGGGTGCGCGGACTACTCTCAATTGTACAGGTGCGAACTCATACTTTTTCTCAATTTGATTTGCTATGATAGACTTCAAAGAGCTAATACATACTTCAGAAAGCCGACCCTGCGGCGTCCAAAGAACTAGCAGTCGTGACTCTCACCAAGATCTTCATGCTGGTTCATCCTTACCAAACCCTCGTGCGAGAGGTTGCTACGCCATTTCTCCCTACTTTTGGCACGGCATGCCTGCAGCTTATCAAGACAAAGTCTGAATCTACGCCTATGAATTTGATCGAAACCATATGCAGCTCATTTTCAACCCTGATCCCCCTATACCCCCCTACCTTTCGCCCTTTCAGCGCCCAGGTCCGGGCCGCCGTCGGAATGTACCTTGCGCCAACTTGTTCAGATGAAATCTCCGTCCCGGAGTCTGTACAGCGGGCTGCCAGGCGTCTAGTGGCATCTCTTCACTTCGTTGCGGCCAAGTCAGGCGGTAGTGATGAGTGGGCAAAGCTTGTCGATGGTATCCTTCAAGAATTTCACGCCACCGCTGACCAAGTCCTTCGAGCTGTCGATGAGTCTTGGGAGGCGACCAGTGGTCGCTCACGAACCAAGGTCGATGTTGATGGAGAACCAAATGGCCAAGGCAGCTCTGCTGAGCATCTGCCTTCCTGGTCTGGCCTCGAGGCTGGTACTGACCGGTTAATTGGGCTCTTCCGGTTCTTGGCGGATTTGTTGAGCTATCCTACCAAGGCTGCGGTTGCCATCCCACTCAGCGGCTTGGTCGACACTATATCAAGAGTTTGCCTGGTCGCTCGGCTCTCAAAGTCCCAGACCTGGGAACAAGCTGTCGAAACTAACCCAGCCATTGGCAGAGAAGAAAAGGAGGAACTATGGAGCCTGATGCCTGATATCCATGTGGCGGCAATGAAGCTCGTCATTGCTCTATTTCAAAGACTTCAAAGACACATGCTACCCTTGGTCCCCGAACTCCTGGACCACCTAATCCGCATCTTCAAGTCTGGTATTAGCATCCCATCAGTCCGGACAGCGGGATACACCACCTTGAATACCATACTGCAGCTTGCCGGACTGACACTATCAAAAACTGCCGTGGAAATGTTGGACCCTCTTGTCGGAGCATGCTGCCGAGACCTACAGCAGGATGCCGGGTTCTTGAAATCAGCAGAGAAACCCGCCGCCGCCGCCACCGGTAAAGGCACAAAGAACGGCGCCGTAGCAGTCAACACAGACCTCTTCCTTCAACCCCAAGCAGCAGCCGCCGCCACCGAAGCACCCACCCTGGAAGCCGACCACAGAGACAGAGCCAACGAGCTGCTTACAACCATCCTCGCTCAACTTCCGCAGTCTTATCTCAAGCCCGCCCTCCGCGGCCACCTCGACAAGACGGCCATCCTGACACGCAATCGCGATGCCATGCTCGCCAGCGTCCTCAACCCCTATAGAGACCAGCATGGCAGGATGTATCCCAGCATTCTGCCCCATTTATCGCAGCTCTTCCCTCACGACCAAGGCCTGGAGATTCTACGCAGCAACCTCCGCACTAGTGCCGTTGCAGGCAGCGGAAGCGAAATGTTTGCCTCGCTAAGCGAAGTTGCCGAGCTGCAGCAAATTGACGAGGAGAATGAGGAGGTAGACGAAGAGCAACAAGATGAAGAAATGCAAGATCAAGATGAAAAGAACCAATCTCCAGAGCAGGCAGCAGCCTCGTCCTACGCCAAAGTCGATCTACCGATCCAGAGCACCGCCTCCATCACCGCACCCAATCCATTCGAACCTCGGGCATCAAACATAGAAAGGGCAGTTTCTCCGCCCAAGAGAAAACACGAGGGGGCTGAAGCCCCCCTTAATCCCAAGCGACAAGAGCTCGAAAAGAAGGAGCCTGCCGTTGCGTCGGCTGCCGTGGTGCAGGCGGAAGGGGGTGAGGAAAGGGGCGAAGAAGAGTCAGATACTGATAGTGATGGAAGCGTGCACCTTAATATGGAGCTGGAAGAGGATGAGGAGGATGAGGACGAAGACGAGTAATTTGCACAACACGATGGCTGTTGTGCGTGGACCATAAAAGAAAAAGAGGGAAGGAAAATAAAGATAGAGAAATGTGGCATCAGCCTGTATTGGGTATATCTGCATAGAATAAGACGTAGTCTACCTCATGACCATCCTGCTGATTAAAAATGAACAATATGATAAACACCCTCGAGAAATGCAAAGAAAGGAGAGGAAGGAAAATAAAGTAAAAGGATCCGGCACAGTATAGTAAGACTTAAAGCAGAAGTTACAAGGCAACCAAAAGATTGCCGCGCCCAAAACAGCCCAGATAGAGAAAACAGAGAGAGATGGTAAACCTTGACACCTATTCTTTTCCAACGCCATTGTTTGTTCGAGAAATTCAAGCCGAGATATGTTGGTTAGGGAAAAAGAAGACACCTCAAGAATATAAAACTCGGGGATAGGAAGATGAATGCGATGCAAGAGAATCATACCAAGCCAGATGAGAACGAACTAACGCTCCATCTCTCAGATATCACCCAGGGAGCGTCTCAGTCGCGTAGCCAAGCTCGGCGTTTCTCTTCCTTCCTCGCGCGACGTTTCTCTTTAAACGCCTTGAGCTCGTTCTTGGTTGGCTTCTTGTTTGACCTCTCGGCTTTTAAGCTGCGGCCACCGTGAGCATTTGCCGCGGCATCCACGTCAAAGTATGCGTTCATCTGACGCCTGGACTTTGCTTCGTCGGAGTGCCGCTCGGGGCCTGCCTCGCCAGACTGAAAGTTGCCTGTGATTCGATTAAAGGAAACCGTCGCGGCATATATGGCAGCAGGATCGCCAGCCAAGGCGGCAGATGCACTCTCATCCTCCTCATTCTTGGCGTACCATGCATTGGGATCATAATCGCCGTGAATGGCGGGGTTGTACCCTCCAGCAATGGGCTTCTCGTGGGAAGGCGGCTGAGGCTCTGCCCCTTGTGAGGTTGTGCCGCCGGGAGCCGCGCCAGCAGCGTCAGGGACTCGAGGATTTTCCCACTGGGTCTTGCCCGTGAAACGGTTGTAGAAAAACCAGGCCTGGCTATTCGCATCCCACTGGCAATCCCATCCGTCATCCTCTGGCTGCTGCGGCACCGGCTCAGCTGGCAAAGGTGGACCACCGGGAACAGCTTCATTCGGCAGCAGCGGCGCCTCTCCAGCAGCAGCGGCATCGGCATCAGGGGATGGCGATTCTTCAGGAGACTTGTCGGCATCGTTGGCCCTCTTTTTTACATTAGATTCATCTTCCTCGGTCACCTCCCCAGCCTCGATATCGGAGTCATCGACATGGTCATCCCTTGTGGCTTCTTGAACAGAGTCCACGACTGCCGCCGGCGACTCAGCCTCTGGCTCATGTGTAGTTGTGGCGGCGGTTTTTGGCGACGACATGTTGGATCAAAAAACAGCGCACCCAGGCAGTCGTCTTTGCGTTATCTTGCTCTTGCTCTTGTTCTTGTTGTACCTGTAATCATCTGCAACCGTGAGTATCCTGAATACGCCATGATCAACATGATACTTATGCACCTAGAGCTTAGCAGGCGGGGACAAAGAGGTAGGTTTGGAATAAAGGCACAATTGCCATAGGCTCGCTTTGTATTGTTCCGCCTTTTCGCGTCGCACGAGCAACAAGTAAGTACCTGAATAGTATTTTGTCGCGCGCCTTTTTCTCGCAACAGTTGTGATGCAGCCTCAGCACCACTGCTACCTTAAAAAAATATTGGCAGTAAATGTTCCAATGTTGTAGGGATGAAGTAGCCTGTATGTGTGTAATATGCAAGGAGCTGGGTGACGGGTGGGCAGATGGATGGGGCACTTCAGCCTTGGGAGGGAACATTAATTATCCGGAATTTGATCTGATTTCGCTCGGGAAGACGGCAAGACGGAAGGTTAATTCAAGCCCGGTTAGTGCCGTGTTCTCTAGAGCATCGTAACAAGAGGTAAAAGTTGATCAGTTAGTAGCAATAGCTGCTGATGCCAAGGGCCGAAAAAATGAATCCAATTTGACCAAGATGCTGCTATTTTTTAGCGCTGCTCTTGACAGCTCTCCAGCTCGGGCTAGTCCTCAAGCATCACAAGATGCAACGCTCAACCTCATCCAAAGTCGCTCCGGGGCTGCAGAATACGAGCCCATGCGACAACCCAACGGTGATCAGTTCACCTGCATCCCGTAAGTTGAAGAGCCCACATTACTGCATATACTACAGGTACGCAAATAGGCATGGACTGTAGATCCTGGCCACTGGTTCTCATCTCCTTTCTTCCGCCTTTCTCACGCTCTTTTTCTTTTCTTTTTGACTATGAAGCAACATGTCTTGATGCTACAAGGTAAAGCCTTTGGAAGCTATACGCATTGAAGCTGCATCCTTCATTTTTCGCATGCTCTCACCCTTCTCCTTTTCAATTTCAATTTCCTTTTTCCCTCCCATCAGTAAGCCGTATTTTTCCAACGGCTCATCAATATGCACTGGCCGCCGCTCTCTCCCATCTCACCACTTGTAATCTCCATCCTCGTACCATCATGCATCGCCGCCACCAGTCAGGGCGAAAACAGTAGCCCCCAGCCTCTGCCAAATGGTGATTCCGTCTGTGACTGCTTCCTATCCAATGGCACGCAGCCCAGCTACTTCTCCAATCACATGTTCTTCGACTTTCGGAATCTGACCAAGGACGCCGGCGTCCCAGCGCTCATCACCAACGAGACTCTGGCAACGATAGCCCGTCCTACGAGCGAGTACTTTTCGGGTGACGAATGGACGAGTGTCTGGCAGCTTCAAGGATGGAGCAACAGCGAGGGCAAAGGCAAGGGCTTGTCTGGGGCGGCGTCGGTCCTGATGGTCAACTCTCCAAGCAATGTGTACATTCAAAATAACAACGACAGCGATGCCGCATCGGACACGTACATGACGCTGCGAACTCAGCGTCTTCCCAAGTTTCAAACTGCGGCGGCTTTCCAGACAAAGACGTCGGACTACCAGTTCGTGTCGCTGCGTATGCTGGCCCGAACAACAGGCGGCCCCGGAGCCGTAACCGCCATGTTCACATACCGAGATGCCACCGCGACATCCAACGTGCAAGAGGCAGACTTTGAAGTCCTGACTCGCGGTCCGCGGGAAAGAGTCCAGCTTACAAACCAGCCGTCCTTTGACAGCAATGGTCAGGTGAATCCGAATGCCACACGCAACGTCACGCTGCCGGATGACATGATCTGGAGCCAATGGGCCGTGTACAGGCTCGACTGGACCTCGCAGAGCAGCGTCTGGTATGTAGACGGCCAGCAGCTCGCCAACATCACCTTTCAGGTGCCCCAGGAAGCCTCGGGCATCAACTTCAACGCCTGGAGCGACGGCGGAAGCTGGAGCGGAAACATGACTGTGTACGACCAGGCGAACCTGCAGATCCAGTGGATCGAGATGATATACAACACCTCCGCCCCGACGACGTCGACGACAAGGAGGAGGGATCCTAGTCGCCTCTGGAGCCGCGACGCCGGCCCCAGGGGAGAACTGCTCCGGCGGCGAGACTCCTCGTCCCGCACCTGCAAGGTCGTGTGCAGCATCGACGACGTCGCGGAAGCGGGAGTCGCCACTATGCTGTGGAATAGTAGCACAGCCACGCGGATGGCCGGTGCTGACGCGCCAAATGGCATGGCATGGGCGTGGGCCCTGCTTGTTGGGAGTCTCGTCTGGCTCGTGGCGGTTTGAACGGGACCAAAAGGACCTTTTGAACCTTGCTTAGGCGCCCGTCGGTATGGATCAGAGCCAGGCTGTGCCTGGGACTGTGGATGAAGGACTTGAGAAACACGGGGTGTCAGGACATGGATGCAAGCGCACTGCCTCGGTTCTTAATACCGAGTGTAATACCGATTGTTGAAAGCAGCCCTTGTACGGCTTGCTTGTGGGATGGGAGCGTAACATTTACGATATACGATATTACACGATATATTACTCACGACTTACGTCGACGATTTCACGTCATCTTCACATGTATACACTCTATTTACAACAGCCTCTTGCAGATGTAACACCACAGGGACACCTAATATCCGTAGATGTTGGATGTAGTTCCTAGTTTACACATACAAGCCATTGCTCTCCTGTGATTGTCTCTCTCTTCAAAGCTGCCATCAATCGTAACCCTAAGCCAATAGTGCACTCTCTCTGACGATATCACTAATACAGAAACATAAAGCAACTCGTCTGTGCCCGCTGTAAGACATACAGCTTTAATGCACTTTTGTGTCACCTCCAACAATCTTGTCCTGTATTACCTCATTCTGAACAGCCCCCCCTGAATCCTCACCTCTTAGCGGAGGAAACAGCGCCCACTCCCTTGACAGGCAAATGTCCTATTGATCTCTCTCACAACAAGGATCCAAAGCCTGCCATCCTGTACCTATCCTGAGACCGCTCAATGTGCGTACGAGTACAGGGAATACCGTGGAAGCACGGGGTAATATTACGGATCTGACCCGACACTACTCTCTACACCTGACCCCTGGTGACTCAGATCTGACTATCCCCATACGCGGACGTCTTCGCTCTCTTCACTCGTGATCCGACGGAGATACTGAACATAACTCGATACATACATACATACATACATATATATATTTATATATACTATTTAATATGTCACGCCGGCTTCTAATAGTAGTTGCGGTCTTTGTATGTTGGGAGCACTAAGCCAGGCCAGACCCACAGACCAAGTAAGAACAACGTGGACATAACAGTTGGAACTAAGCTTCATGACACATAACTACATAGACCGAAAGCCCAAAGTAAGCTTACATGCGCTGTATTCGTTTAAAATCATCTTATCCAACCTCATGGGCCCTTGCTGTGGTCCCACGGAAACTTCCAGTCTCCTTTTTTCGATTTTTTTGTATCTCTTTTCCATGACCGCCAATAACATCCATGATACATAATAAAATAATAAGACAACTTTTCATTACCATAATCCATAACCACCCCCTTTTTTTTCATCCTTATGTTAAAAATGCTGAGTAACACCAATCCAATGGTACAATGGGTATATCCACCACGTCGTCCTCCTCTGACCGGGCTTGAAAAGAATTGCCCAGAGACATGGCCCATGCCACCAAAGTGATGCTTCTTTACTTCGTACATCGAGGGGCTAAAGTTAAAACGTATAATAAAAAATAATAATATTTGGGTGCCATGACTCAAATCATGTAATATGCGAGGCATAACCTTTCGGTAATCGTGATATGTTCCTTGTTTGAATGGCCTTTTAGAGTAGTGCTAGTAGTTGTGTTTTGTTATATTACCCTTGGTCGTAAGCCTTGGCGTAACCGGGGCTGTTGGAACGAGCGGAGTTTAAACAACTCTACGAAACATCTCGATTCTCGTTCTCCACAGCCCCGTCTTACGCGGAGCCAGGTACTAGGACCCAGGACCTGCCAGGTAAAGGGGGACCGCAAAGCTGCATCTCGTTCTTGGATACCGAGCGTTTGGACGAGCGTGTCATACCACCCTTGCCCAAGAGGTTCGATGGTTGGCCATCCACTTCAGGAAACCGCGAGCCCACGCACCGAGTTTAGCCTTGGGATGGACGAGCCATGCCATGCTAATGTACTCCCAAGAGCTAATGCTGAAGGAGAAGAGGGAAAATGCTTTTCAACTCTCAGGGAGTGTAAAATGAGTCCCAGGAGGGACAAGGCGACCTCCGTCGTATCGCCGCTTCGTAGACAATGCCAACATCGTTAGGCTATCCGCGGAGGCCGTGTAGTAGTCAATCACCTCAGGTGTGTCTGATCAAATTGAAACGGCTGATTTGGGAATGCCATGCTAGCGCTAAGGCCGAAGGGATCCCAATCGGGTTGCTGGTCCAACAGCTGTGTCATTGAGGGATACTGAGAGCCGGTCGTCACTTGGTGTCCTGGCCCGGTGGAAGCTGGTGAAAGAAGCATCGGTTGTTGTTCGCCGTTGAAGCCGCCAGGGTATGGGCCGGGGCCACTAGGCGTCTCAATCTCCGAATCATCGACCATATCGGCTTCATATTCTTGCTCTATACAGCAAAGTATTAGTAAATAAATTGAAAGATTCATCTCAACTCCGCATGTCCATCTTACCTAGTTGCTCAATATGATTCTGGAATGAGGGTGTCGGATAGAACGATGCACCGGAGCCCATCGCCCCGCGATTCCCAGTTTGCATCATTGGCTGCGGCTGCCTCGCCGAGGGCGTCGTGATGGAAATGGGAGTCATCTGCTGCCGAGATAGCCCAGAGATGGATCCTCTCATGGACATGGTGTCCGAGGCCGCAGGAGAAAAGGCCGAGCTCACGGTATTGGGGGAGTTGGCGTGAGATGAGGGCGCGGGTCGATTCTTTGGAGATGGCGCAGTCTTGTGAGGCTGTAGGGGTGGCGGAAGAGCGGTGCCGGGCTCAGTCTTGGGAGCAATGCTAGACTTGCGCGCATGGTGCCGGTGCATCATAGTGCGTTGAAGGGGAGGCGGCTGTACCAAGTTCTGTGGCATATGAGTAGGTGCCAAGTTGGGACTGCCGGTTTTGGCTTGAAGCTCGGCTTGGACATCGATGCCTTGAAAGTGAACAGGGTCAGTTAAGAGATCGTATGTGATATGCGGCATAGCAACCTACCCTTCTCAAGAAGGATACGCTCGAGTAGCGAGTTCTTGTAGCGAAGCATCAGACATTCTTCGGCGGCAGTGCGATGCGCAGCCTGTAGATTATGCAGGTTGGACTCATGGACGCGAATGGTCTCCTCCAGTTGCTTAATGTACTCGGTGCGGCGTTCGCGAAAGGCAGCCTGAGCTTGTCTGTTGCGCTGTTTGCGCTCTTCAGATGTCGCATAGATCTGGGGAGAGAGAAGTACATGTTAGCTTGGACGCAGTGGTAGCCATGTTATGAAGTTGTCTTTAGGGAACATGGGGGTTTGAAGCGAGTTACCCGAAAGGGTAGCAGAACGCCATGACCACCCATGCAGCCGTCTTATAAGACAAGCCAGCATCGAAGCTATCGTTGGTAATGCCAGTATATATGTGTACAAGTATACTTGTATACGAACGATGGTAGTTGGCATCCTACCAGATAGCATTATAGCGCTGATAAGGGAATGGGTGTTGGCCCCTAGAAGGGAAGGGGAGAATGTGTAGTGTTGGGTAGAGTTGGATGAGTGAGGGGTAGTATTGGGTAAGATCCGAGATAGACTAGCAGCACTACTGCATCGTCGTCTGGTATTTATAAAAAAGAAAAGTCATGATGCTGGGGAAAAGGCAGAAGGAGATAAGGAGAGTAGAGGCACTGACTGGCTTGCGGCCACCCTTTCGCTTGGGTTGCTGGCCATCTTGAGAGACGTTGATGATTGTGCTACCGCTGCCGGCAGTCATGGAAGGGATCTGCTCCCTCTCCGGAGTGGAACCAGTCGACTCCTCGCTCTCATCCCGGTGAGGGTTCGGCGGCTTGTTGTCGATGGACATCTTGTCGGCCATGCCTTGGGTAACGGCGCGGCGGCCCTTCGAGACGACAGCCGCGCTGCGGCAAGCGCCCCAGTGATTTCAAGAAGACAAAACAGCCGTCCCGGTGACGTCGTTCGGGGGTGGGACGCCCGGTATCAGGGACAGCGGCGGCGGGCTATCAGAGGGATGGCCAGCCGACTCAAAAGGGCGTCTGTGGTTCGCCCAAGGAAAGCTGTTATCAACGAGTTTAGGCAGCGGGCGAATGCAATTGCAGGGTCCTCTGGGCGCAAAAAGTCGACCAGAGAGATAGGCGTTCGGCAGCGCGTCTGTGGCGCCTATGAGCGGCCGAGGATGCGCCTGGCGGGCAGAAACGTAAGAAAAACAGGAGCGAGAGATAAGGAAGCGTCGCCCCGAGCTTCCAGAAAGATAATTTGCAGGCTCCAAGAGGGTCAGTCGAAGATACAGAACCTCGAAAAGCTGGTGGGAAAAGGCGCCGCGACTTGTTTTATGTAATGGGAATTGCGAAGAGGGGAGCCAGCAGCGTCTCCGGCGGCGACATTTGCGCTGGAGCTGGCCCCCCGTCCTTTATGGGCAATTTTCCTACCAGCCCAGAACCAGAACTAGCCACAGCGGACGGGGTACAGCGTTTTAGGCTTCGCAGCGACACTTGGAGGCTTGCTGGCGACTGACTGGTGACTGCAGGGTCGGCCGACGACCCAGCGCAAGGTGGAGCGATGAGCGAGCTCGGCGCTGGCGTGGCCAGACAAGGCAAAGGATGCAAGAAAAAAAAAAAAACGAGCCAGCGGCCGGTACGAGAGATGGGGCCGGGGCTTGCAGGTCTGCGCGGGTACCTGTGAGACGTGAGCCGTGCAAGTTCTTGTCACAGCGCTCGGCGTGCGTTCTGGCTGCTTAGCCCGTGGCACCAGAGCGAGCTTGAGGCCCCGGTTCCGCGCACCGGCATCTCAGGGAGCGGAAACGATGCAAGGCCTGAGGCCGGGACAGGGCAGATGCGACCCGACACTCCGATGGCATCTGGATTGGACCCCAGAGACAAAGAATTTACGTTATAACACCAACCAGTGCCAGGTACTTGCAACTCTCACGACACGACACGAAAAACAAAGAGGCTGCGCCCTCGCATGTACTCGTACCGCCTGCTTGCAAGGCAAAGGCAAGAAAAAATTCATTCGGCCAACCATCCTTCTGCGAGTGGGTGTGCTGTGGGCTGTGGCCGGTTGGCTTTCGCCTCGATCCAGTCTGGAGGCTTTTCCCCAGCCGACGCGTCAGGTGGTCGCTCGGGCTAGAACTCCTTGGGAACTGTCTGGGCTAGGCAATGCTAGGGGCCCCGGGGAGTGGAATGGCCATCATCTGCTTTTCTTGCGCACTCCACCCTCTCTCTCCACCACGGCTTGCAGTTGAAATTTTCATCGGCTGGCCAAGTTGGAGTCGAGCGAGTCTCCTTGGTTGCTTGGCTCCTGGGTGGGACCCCGCTTGTGCTGCCCTCTCTCTTCTGCCTCTGCTGCACTCGCACTCGTACAGTATTGATTTGATACAATCCATTACAAGTAATGGCCGTGCCGCTGGCCTGAGCTACCACGAGTACAGCTCTCTTTGTCGGCCATACTCCGTATCCTCCACCCCTTCCAAATGTCCGCCGCGCCGCCTTCAATTGTTCGCCATGCTAGCTAGTCCATGCGTCGACAGTCCCATTGCTGTGCAAATCCTGCCAGGGGTAACGGGCAACTCCTTCGCTGCAGCTCGGACACATTCGCCGCCAGCCGCAAGCCTCGTTGCTCACTAGCACAGCGCCGATGAGCGAATATTAGCATGGCTTGCATGGATGAGAAGGGAAACGAAAATATCGACCACCACTAATACCGTACTGTACTAACTAGGCACGAATACGTTGAGTACAGTACAGTACAGAAGATGACAGCGAAGAGAAGTGACATTGATCAGCAGCTGCGTTTTGAACCACACCACCACGCAACAAAACCAGCGGCTCTAGTGCCGACTGGCTGCAGTATACCCCAACGAGACCTGGCGGGCCCACGATGCTGCCGCGGAAAGGAGAAGGCGACAAGATTTGCTTCAGGTAGAATGCTTGTACTCCGGTGTTCGTCCTTGGCAGGCTTGCAGCGGTTACGGCGAAGCTATTCGCAACTAACCCAAGCGGCCCCCAGCTGGCCTGCCTAGTTGCAAATCTCGAAACGCTCCTTGCCTGTTCAGGTCCTGTCTATTTCACGACCATCGAGGGCAATACTACTACGAGTATACGGAGTACATACGGAGTAATATCTGGTCTTTCTGGTTGTCGCGCAAAGCAGGTTCAGCACTCTGAATGGGTAACCTGGATTTTGCCCCGTTGCTTGGTTGCTCTGAAACAGGCTTACATGCTCGTACAGCAGAGCTGGTCTCTCCTCGGTTTAAGCTTAACCTGGTCTCACCACGCCCCTCGACGAGCATCTCGATGACATTGTGCGTGGTCTTGCCTTGCCTGATGCACCCGCGGAAAACTAGCACTGCTACTAGTAGTTGTTAGCAGGCAGCCCAGCACTGATCAGCCAGAGACGTCCACCATTCCACCCGCGACATGCAGCCTATTGGTTTCTGGCGAGGATTGCCCTGCTGCAGATCCGACGCCTCCTCGTTCGCGAGCCGTCACCAGGCTGCGAGTACGAGAACTCCATCAATTGCCAACTCATGTAGCCGTGATTAGCCTCAGAGTCTTCTCCAATAATGAATGCACGGCTTGGGATTGTGACGCGTGGTGTCGGAAGGCGTTGTGCGTTGTCTCGGGACCGCATTGCCAGCGGTTATGTATATGCACGAGACTGCATGCGTCGTTGTGCCGGAGGTCCGGTCGAGGCGTCCTGTTGTCTTCATATTGGTCAATTCGTGGCGTTGTGGCCCTTAGTCTCACCGAACATCATCTCCTTTTCCTCGACCCCATTCTGGGGAGACTCCACGACGATTAACTACTGTATGGGGGCAGAAAAGTAGTGTTCCCCTGACACGCACAACGTTCAGCCAACCATCTCGCAACAACCAAGCAAACTCCGCAATTGGGGCTGCCTTCTTACTCCAACGATGGTTCAGCTAGGACGGGCGCTCAGTACCACCAAGGATATCCCGGAACTCTTCACCAACTCTTGAGACAACCGTCGACAACCGCAGTCATGTGGTGAGGCTGTGGCTTGCCGACCTCATCTAAGAAGCCCCCAAAAGTTTACAATGCCCGCGTGATCGGTGTAACGGGCGAGGGCGGAGAGGCGGACATAAAATGTCTTTACCTCTGGATCATTCCGAGCAAGCAGCATTGGTGTCCTAGCCCAAATGCTGATTTCAGTTCCAACCCGCTCACGGCCAGACATGTCATTGACGTTGCGTTACAAGTATGTAAGCGCCGTCTCTCTTACCACCACGCAAGGATCATGTTTCGAGTAGTATTTCCGCCGCTGAGTCCGCATAATGCCTGCCAAAGCCGGATGCCCTCTCTCTCTCCCTCCCTTGCAAAATACGGAGCGCTTCATGTCAAACATCCCGTCAGCGCCACAAAGCCATGGGATATCAGCTTCCAAAACGCCAGTCCCAAGGGCTAGGTCATCCCAACTTGAGCGCCACCAACTTTTCCCCAGCTTCCTCGGAGATGTGCCAATCAGCTTCCCCATCAAGCAAGATTGTCTCTCGGCTGTCGGAGCTAGCTCCAAGAGGAGTTCGCCGCTAACGCAAGAAATCGCAAAATCATTGCAAGTTTGTCCAAGTTGCAGAATTGCCGAGTAGAATTCACCCAGTTTTGAGGGAGGTGAGCCGCTGTCCACCAAACTTTGAATGTGCATAGTGATGGTGGTCAGGCGATGAATAAGCGGCCTACAACAGTTGTGAAGCAACGATGTGCTCCCTCCATCTTGGTCTACGGCAGCCAGTATCCGGCATGATTCAATCTTCCAATTAGTGACATGCCGAGCTGAAACGGTACACATCAAGGCCTCTCTCTATTCATTACCTAGCCGAATTGGCATTAAATTCTTTGTGAAGGGACGCACATATATACAACACGAGAAAAGTAAACAAAATTACTTAATTCAACCATGCCCCTCTCCCGAATAATAAAAGACCACACCCGTTGCTGTCATCCAAAAATCCTACGGCCGTCATCGATGCGCATGGAAACGAAGATCATCTTTTCCTGGCTGTTGGCGGGCTATTAGACGCCACCTTCTCATAGCCTGCACAACGTTTTCGTCCACCCCAACCGCCCTTCGCCGACACTTAGGACAAATCTAGATATATCCCATTTTATACAGTCGCTTACCGAGAACGGATCTGGTCATCCGGTGAGAAAGTAATCATCGGGTCCGGCGGATGTCACGGCATTCGAGCTAGAAGAGCCTTTCTCTAGTGTCATCACCGTCATCACCTGGCAGCTACACATGGTCCGCAAGGCGATTTCTGGAAGGATTCTAGCGCAGCACATCGACAAAGTAGCGCTCCGATTTTCGGGTCGGAGTGCGGAGGACTCCGCAGTGTCGTGCTTTTCTGGGGGGCTCTTTTCGGTCTCGAGGAGAGCATGATTGGGTGGCTGATGAATTGCCTAAAGTCCTAGAGTGAGCGCTTAGGATTTGACATGCAATGCATCTCAACAACGCCTGTCACTGCCTGTCGCTGTTCTTCGCTGTCCGACGGCCTCGAAAAGGGAACTCCGCAGCCTCGTATTTCACTAGATCAAGGGAGCCTGCCCTTGATTCGCAGGAGACAAAAAGCATCCATGATCTTTTATAGAGAGCAGGGTGCACAGTAAAGAGGTCACTCAATTTGTGCTTCTGCAAGTCCATATACCACTACGGAGTAGAAACTGTTTTGTCGCACCCATAGCAGCTGCTCATGCCAGGAAGATGCACATTGCCCGTGAACATATTGGCGACGAAAGTTGTACCGTCGAGGAACAAAGATCTCATTAGAAGAGAAAGAAAAGAATCTCTAATTACCTTTTTTTTCTAGGTGGTTGCTTTTGTTTCCTTTCTTCTCTCTTCTTCATCTCTTTTGCATAGGCGGGCAATCAGATGCTTTAGGTTGCTGCTCAGTCAGCCGTTGCCTAGGCAGCTGCTCAATGGCACCGGACATTTTCCAACACAAAAAGCGGCCAGCATCAGCGCAAGGCTTAGTACATCATGAGATCTGTGATAAAATCGATCTCAGATAGACGACAATGCGATTTTGTAATAGATCCTGTGATTGACCATGTGATTAATTCGCCGATGCGTGCGCAAACGACGTATGAGAGCTCACGTTATTTCCCCATAGAATCATCATACAGTGTGAATTGTGAAATACATCCGCTATCATCTCCAAATTGATACTGTGGGTCCACTTTGTGCCCTTTTTTGGAGCTTGGACAACAAGAAAGTAAACAAACCCCCGCTGACTACAAACCCGTGCCATTTGTTTTCATGTCATCACCTCCCACCAGGAATCCATCACGACATTCCTCGCCAGGTCTTCAAGACATTTCACCAGCCAGCTGCGTTGCTCAAAGTACTGCTATCAATACCGCCTTACCCTGCAGTTTTAGCCAGATTTGAGCGCAATATAGACCATGTCTACTCCCCGCCGCTCAGCTCGGCTTGCTAAGGTGAGATTTAGCATGGCCAGACACGCTCTGAAAAAATCGATTGTAACCTAACAATATTGGTGCAGAGCAATCCTATGCTGGAGCCGCCTGTTGAGCTGGAGCTCCCAACTGTAATCGAACGTGTCGAGCCCATCAAGCGCCAAACTCCCAAGAGAATCACTCCCAAGAAAATGGAGGCCTTTGAGACGCCAGCAACGCCCGCGAGCCATGCTGTAAAGCCCCCTAGCACAGAGATGCACCCCAGCAAATTCCACCCAACTACCGCCGAACCATCGTCTGCCCTTAGATTGGGCTTCGCAGATATTGAAGACACACGACGGCGCGATAGCTCTCATGGAGCAGGCCTTCAATCCACCCCGTCCAAAGTTGGCGGTGTGCCCTCTTCTGCTTTCACTCTTCGTGTGCCTGCTGGCACCACCGCCGGCCAACTGGGCTTAGGGGCTGAAGCCCTACGTGTTTTGGAGGGCCTCAAGGAAAAGGCTGCCGAATACAAAGCCGATCTCATCGCCAACAGAGGAAACGACTCATCGGCCGCGTCCACCGATGCCAATGGCCGCACAATTGCTAAACCAAAGGGAAAATCGGGAAGGTTTAGTGCGGCTCATATGGCTGAATTCAAGAAGATGGATTCCATTGAAGGACATGCCTCTGCTTGGAGAGCACAAGAAGGAAGATTCGTTCCCGTTGTCAACCCTGGCATTAAACGGTCTCTATCCAAGGCCAACCTGGACACCCCTCAGAAAAACACAAAGCAAACTGGAAGGGTGCTGCCAGCTACTGAACCGAGGAAGCGCACATCGGTGATGGAGAGCCTCGGACGATTTTCTGCCAAGAGACTGGGCACCAAGGCTCCTATTAGCGAAGACCAAGCCTCTGCAAAGGACGAGCAGCCTTCGCTCTCGGCCAAGAGAGTAAAGAAGAGCGCAGAAGACGACGCTTCGACAACCCGCCCTATGTCGCGAGACACGACGTCTGTTCCCCGCCCGTTCTCCAGCGTCAAGAAGCCTGCCGCTTCTAGAATTGCTCGACCTAGCCTTTCTCGCTTGATGAGCCCGACAAAGTCGTCCATCGGTCGCTTCACTAGCCCTGGAAAGTCTGAAGCGGCTCCTGCTGCTGTTACATCATTGCCGCAGCCAATCTTCAAGCTACAAGGCGAGGCCAAGGAGGCCAAGGAGGCCAAGGAGGCCAAGGAGGCCAAGGGACCGAAGGAACTCGTGAGACCCAAGGAGCTCATGACTCTCAAGGAGCTCAAGGAGCCTAAGGAATCTAAGGAATCTAAGGAATCTAAGGAATCTAAGGAATCTAAGGAATCTAAGGAATCTAAGGAATCTAAGGAATCTAAGGAATCTAAGGAGCCCAAAGATACTAAGGTATCTGAAGAGTCCGAGGAGCCCGAAGAAGCCGAGAATGTTACCGACACGCCTATGAGGCGATCGGTGATGAAGTCCGTGTTCGGAAGCAGCATATTCTCGCCTAGAAGACGGAGTGCTATCCCGCAGCCAGTCAGCACCACTGCGCAGACGCCGCCAGCTTCCTCTCGCTTCTCCAATCTGAACATTACCCGACTTGCTGCCACTCAGCCCACGAAGAAGTCTGTCAAGCATGTCACTTTTACACCAGAAGTTACGAGAACCATTTTTGATCCAGACTCTCCATCGCCTCACAAGTCGAACACTACTAAGAAGGCTTTGGAGCGCACTGAAGTCGAGAAAGCCCTGGAAGAAGCGAAATCATCGGGCGATATTGCCTATCCCGATTTATCCAGCTACAAGCATCTGCTTGACTCCAACACTGAGGAGGTCATCAAATCTCCTTTTCCTTCGGTTCCAGGCAGATTTACGTTCCGAAGTGATCACACAATCAAGTTTGGAAACCCATCGCCATCCGGCTTTGGTGCCTCTCCCGGCCAGTCGAGCGTGCGACATGTGCGCAATTCTATCAAAGCCACATCGGACATGCCCGGCAGCTTTCCTGATCCAGTTTCGCCGAGCTCTCACCCGAATAAAGAGAACACGGCGCCTTCTCCGGCCAAGGTGCTTCCAGGAGTTCCACACGGAATGGCCAACAAGAAGCGTCATCGCGCCAGCTCGACTGAAGAGGACGCTGACAAGGAGGCAGCTGATCGCGCTGGGAAGAAGGCCAAGAGTAGCCACGTTCCTGAGGGACAGGCTTTGATGGCTCCTCGTCTTCTAGGTAAATCACCCTCCATCTCCGCCAACGCAAAGAAAGCCGCCGGCAAAACCCCAGTTCGTCCGATTAGTCGAGCTGTTAGCTCGGCATCGACTTCGAAGAAGAGACCAACACTGAGCATGAGCCGCCTTAACATGCTCGCCCGCCCAAAGAACCGCGGTTAGGTAGCCAGATGGGCGCTTCGAAGGAAAATGGGCGAGCTTCCGCTCAGACAAACTCATGGTCGGCTGGAGAATACTCCCTCCCGCTCTTGTTGCCGGGATTGATTACAGCCTTTCAGGCCGAATGGGACGTGTTTAACATGGTGGTTATCTTGATATATTGCCGGTTTGGCGTTGGAGACTGCATCTTTTGGTTGATGCTTTTGCTATGATGAAGGAAACGTCGCAATGTATGATGGTATCCGGCGCTACGGATCCACTGGCGTTTTGATACGATTGTTTATACCTCGACGAATCTGAATGTGGCTGGACATGGCCTCTGTTGAGAGCGACACTTTGCTTTTTCTTCTTTGTTACTTGGCTTGGCGCAGGAAAGGGAAATCGGGATGAATAGGGAAACCCATCTTTTGTTTGTTCGTTTGTGTGTTTGTTTGAGGTCAGGGCGACAGGAAGTCGACTTGTGTACAAGTAGTAACGCATACATTGTTGCTGTTAATGCCCAGATTGCTCTCGTGTTTGCTTCGCATTTGCAGAAACTATCTATTACGATGCCGCCTTGTTCAGTGATTGCCATGTTATTTGTCATATGAGAACTGACAACGCTCTCCGCTTCACGTTTGTATAGAAATTGAATTGGCAGCACCACCAGTATTTCTAACTGCGGGTTTCCATCATTATTATTCCACTTCGTGAGACTGGTTTCACTGACTTACACAGCATCCTCCGATCGTTGTCTGTATTGCGTCCACCTAGAAAGCTGCCAAGTTAATTTATATATCCAAATTAGATATCATGCGGTAGAAAGAAAACACGGGACTGATTGCCATACTAAAAGCACCAAAATCAATGCACGCCAGTCCGGTGTAGTCTTTCCCCCTTTGGACAAATACAGTATGCTACATGCCTACCCTAGGCAAGCTCTTGGCTAGCAAATTTCGAGTGTTTTTGCGTGAGCTCCAATGGAATATAGATATGAAATTTGTCACATGCTCTGTACGCGGTTGAAACAATGCAGTTCTTTTCTATTTGCCGTTGCAAAAGGCATGAATGACTGGCTTCGTGCCAGCTTTATGGTGTTGTTGACCTGTAGCAATACCTACGTAGTCGCCTTCATACTTAATATGCAGAGCAATTATTAGAGCTTCCCCAGGAAACGGTTTACGGTTTGCGGTTTGCTCTCTTTGGCAACACTAACTTGATCAGCAGGCCAAGCTATACAGTGCTAATTCACATCTAGAGTATCACTGCATCGAACGCCCTGAGGGAAGGCGGCATGAAGGCACGTATTGATGACGTTATCATGATACCTGGGTGGGCCAGCGAGGTTCTCAAGCAACTACCAGCTCAGCTTGCTTGGTGCTGCCACTTTAGCTGTGGGCGGAAGTACCTACCTCTGCTACGAGGTAGCTCCTTCCTGCGGACCGACACCAGGCCAACAGCAGTACCGGCACAAGTACCTCTGGGCCTAGCGCAGTTTCAGTGGGCGGAAGCCCTAGTTTGTCCCTCGGCTGCGTCGTAGCTCAGCTTGTATCTCCCTGTAGCTCCAGCTTGCTACGGGCAACCCAGTCTCCGGATGCGGGATCAGATTCAATGGCGCAAGCAAAGAGACTTTTGATTCGCCTCCAAAGCCGGCCATATAAAGGGCCTCTGGAAGAATAGAATATTCGTGGCCGCCTTCAGCTGAAATGCGCTTAATGCTGGACAATGCGAGCTGAAGCCGGCTGCGAGTGCTGGGTTACTCGGCGGTTGCTAGCTAGACTGTACGACTCGGTACCTGCTGCACTAACGGCCCAGCGCCCCGGAGCCCTAACAGCGCAACCACAAAATATTTCACGGGAATTAAGCGAGCCCCCAAAACAAGTGTGCTAGCGCCTGCTGGTCGCTTTTTTTTCTTCGGAGTGGATTGGCGCAGCACAGAAAAAGCATACAGTAGAGAGAGTTTGCCCGCATTGAGCAGGCAGCGGAACCCCCCCAAACAGGGCCGGATCGTGCATTTTCTTCAACTGCATCAGCAGCACACCAGTTTTCCGGACCTCGCTCTGGTGCTTCTCCTCCTTCGCAAGAAGAAATAGAAAGACCGACTTGCGCGCCAGGAGGGCCATGCGATCTTAAGACGTCGTTACCCCCCCACAAAGTAGCAAAGACTACCCTCAGCGCCGCCAGTACTGTCCAGCACCCAAGCGACCAACATGTCACAGGTCGCCTCCCAGGTATGCATATTGTCTTGCATCCCGTCTCCTTTGCAATTCGTGGCTTGGCCGATGTCGAGCTGCTGCCAGGCGTTGTTGAGCTTGAGCTACACATATCGCGCCGACGGCTGGGCTGCCTCGCTGCCTCGAAATAGAGACACTGAGCTGATGCCGTCGTCGCAATATTTCGCTCGGAGTCACTCTTGCTTGTATTTTTTCAATTTTTGTGTTGCTGGTGCTGACTGCCGCTTTGCTATAGAACCGGTTCGCCTACCTTGGTACTGACGCCCCTCCTCCCGCAAATTTTACTTTGACCCTCACCCCTCCAACGAACCCCGCCGCGATAGAATCGTTAAGCGCAGGTCACTGACCGAAGTTTTTCCCCCTGCAGGCAACGACTCCGATGGCGAGGAGAAGCCCGTCGTCCCTGTCAAGACCGTCGACAAGGCCACAACCCGCACTACTAAGCGCAATGTCGAGCCTCAGGCCCCCCAGGCCCCTGTGAGGACTGGCGGCAACCGCCGTGGTGGCCCCGGCGGAAGCGAGGGCGGTAAGTTGCCCTGTCTCAGTCCCTTGATTCGGTGGCGCTGCCGAGGTCGTGGCGCCGTCCGGAGATGTGAGGTATTGATGCTAATTGCCGACATGCAGCTTTCCGTGACCGCGCCGCCGGTCGGGAACGCAACCAGGGCCGTTCCACCGAGGAGACCCCTAGAGATGGTCCTCGTGGTGGTCAGGGTGCTCGCGTCCGTGGAGGTGAGTGAATTTGAATTCCATTAAGACTCCTTTTCGAGGGATTTTGCACCACTATCCAAGCATTTATACTAACACGGGACAAGGACGTGGCGGACGATTCCCCCGTGACCGTGACGACAGACATCCTCACAAGTCCGGTACCACCACGTAAGTTTTATTTCTTTCTGGCTGTCTACTTACTAGCCATGTCATATTGACCATTTTCGCTTTCAAGTGGCTCCGATAAGCAAGCAGCTCAGTCTTGGGGTGCCACCGAAGGCAATGCCGAGCTTAAGGACGAGCAGGCCGGTGAGGCCATCGCCGAGTCTGAGAAGAAGGATGAGCAGCCCGAGGAGGCCGCTGAGCCCGAGGAGCCTGAGGACAAGAGCATCTCCTACACCGACTACCTCGCCCAGCAGGCCGAGAAGAAGGCCGCCCTTGAGTCTGAGCTTAACATCCGCACCGCCAACGAGGGTAGCAAGCTCGACAAGAAGTGGGCCAACGCTAAGCCCCTCGAGAAGGAGGAGGATGACTTTATTGCCGCCTCCGGTGGCAAGAAGCAGCGCGAGCGTGAGCGCAAGGTGAAGCAGACTGTCGACTTCGACCCCCGCTTCGTCGAGCCCGAGCGAACCCGTGGCGGCGGCCGTGGTGGCCGTGGTGGTCCTCGTGGAGGCCGTGGCGGCGAGCGTGGCCGTGGCGGAAACTTCCGTGGTGGACGTGGTGGCCAGGGCGCTTCTATCAACACCAGCGACCAGTCTGCCTTCCCCAGCCTCGGCGGCAACTAAATTGCCTGCGACTCATGAAGTCCTCAAAGACCCTTTCCTTGGCTGATGGACTGGGCACTTTATCTCGCTTCCCACATCTAGAGAGAAAAGAAAAAAATCCCCAATGTGTGTGGAGGACGCTTAAGCCTTTTATGTTTTGATAGTTGATCAAAAAAAAAGAAGAAAAAGTTTGACCATGTATTCTCGACGGTTTGGTCGTTCCGCTGGGTGTCGATGGGACTCAATTTTACAAATGGCTGAATTGTGCTGTATTCCCCCCTTTTCCTAAGTCTCCTTTTTCTTTAAACTTAGGTATATTTGCACACCAAGTGGTTTCCCCCCTTTTCCTTTCCCCGTACTCAGGAAAGGAATGGAGGGAAAGAAAAAACAGAAAAGAAGTTAACGTTATTATATCCTTTTTCCCTCTTTTGAAATTGACGCTGCGGAGAGTGAGAATTGTCTTTGATACTCCCCTTTTCTCTGTTTCCGCTTCGCTGGTGAAATGGACTCTATGGACTGAGACTACGCCACACTTTATGATCTCTCTTTTTGCTATCTCAGATTGGTCTTTTGCAATAATCTGAGACTTGGTAGGCTGGATGGGGACGGAGCTGGGCTTCTAACTAGGCGTCAAACCATGCAATCTATGAGAATCTTGTGACATCCCGTGCTGTCGTAACATATTGTATACTTCGGGTAAAAGATTACTACTACACAAGAAAGAAGAAGCCTGTTAACGGATTGCTTTACAGTTTGTAATTCATATACAGCCATTGTGTATAACTGGCTATTTAATATGGCCTTATTGTGACTCTCATTGTCTCTGCGAGAGTATCCTTCTCATCGTAAATGCAAATATCAGCCGATGCATATATATTCCCATAGCTTCCCAATCAAACAACTTTCCATTTCATCCCTTTTTTTTGTCCTTTTTCAAATCTCCTTTTACGTTTTTCTTTTCATAAGCTAGTCAGAGAAGACTTTACGCCTTGAGGACCTTGATAAGCTCCTCGACGATCTTGTCGCCGGCCTCCTTGGTGCCGGAGCTGCCGCCCATGCCCTTTGTCCTCAGACCGCCGTCAATGGCGTTTCTGACGGCGTCCTCGACGGCCTTGGCCTCATTGGGCAGGTTGAGAGAGTATCTCAGCATCATCGCCACGGACAGGATTGTGCCGATGGGGTTGACGATGCCCTTGCCGGCGATGTCAGGGGCAGAGCCTGTTCCATTCGATTAACTTTATAAGAAAAAGATAAGTTGGGATAGTTTACGAACCATGTATGGGCTCGTACACGCCATTGCACTTGGACTTTCCATCAGGAATGCCGGTCAAGCTGGCACTGGGCAACAAGCCGATGCTGCCAGGGATGACACTGGCCTCATCGCTAATGATGTCACCAAACAGATTGCTGGTTACCACCACGCCGTTGAGGCCTCGAGGGTTCTTGACCATGATCATGGCAGCACTGTCGATGAGCTGGTGCTCAATCGTCAGATCAGGGAATTCTTTGGCAAACGTCTCCGTCATGACCTTGCGCCACAGACGGCTGGTGGCAAGGACATTGGCCTTGTCCAGCGACCAGACCTTGGTCTCGCCACGGCCGCGAGCCAGGAAGCCGGCCAGGCGAGCCACACGCTCAATCTCAACTCGGGAGTAAGGCTCAGTGTCCCAGGCACTGCCAGAGCCATCATTTTTCGGTCACCGAAGTAGATGCCTCCAGTTAACTCTCTGACAATGACAAAGTCTGTGCCGCGGCACACCTCGGCCTTGAGAGGAGAGTATTCGACGAGGGCTTCGGAAGCGAAGAAGCACGGGCGGAGGTTTCCGTACGTGCCCCATCTCCTTTCGCAGCCTCAGCAGGCCCTGCTCTGGACGAACAGCACCGGTACCCCATTTGGGGCCTCCGATGGCGCCGAGGAGAACGGCGTCGGCGGCATTGGCGGCGGCGAGAGCTTCGTCTGTTAGGGGAGAGCCGGTCGCATCGATGGAGCACTGGGGAGATTCATTGTTAGCTTTGAGATTGAAAGAGGACGAGGTAGAGAGTGAGCTTACGCCTCCTAGAAGATGATCTTGCAGGTTGAATTTGCCGGCACTGGGACTGTGTTGCTCAATGGCCTTGAGGACCTAAGCTGGTGTAACCAAAAGTCAGCGTCCAGTCGACGTCATGAGCAGAGCTAGCAAAGCGCGGCGAGACGATGCGGTGCGATGCGATACGCTCGTGGAATAGCTTCAGTTTGCACGAACCTTGATTCCCACAGCTACAACCTATATTCCCAGAACAAACAAGACATCTGGTCAGCATAACTATCTCCAAACCTCGAGGGATACAGGCCATACCTCAGGACCAGCGTGGTCTCCCGCAAACACGACAATGTTGTGCTCCGCCATCGTATCTAGAATGAAGGTCGTTTGCGATTGATGGAGGAAAGTATTTAGTTAAAAAAGAAGTAGAAGAAGATATGATGAATTGTTTTCAAGCTTTTCTGTCGTTGAGAGTTGGAGAAACCGAGAAAGCAGAGTGGCCTAATAAGCAATCAAATACCAAAAAGTATAGCTCCTCTGTGCCGAAGTCGGAAGGCCGACACACGGAGAGCTCGTCTGCCCAGCTTTCGGGCGGCTTTGATTTGCTCGGCGCCAGATGGAGAGAAATTACAAAGTTGCTGTGCTGTGCTTGATGGAATTGGCTGGAATAACATGTAGATTGTCGCAGGCTTTTTAGAGGATTTGGGCCGGGAATAGCCAGGATTTGCCTTGGAGTGCCGAGACGGATCGACTTGGAACTTTTTGTTACTGCTGGTAATTTCTATGGTGTTGCGGGGGGTCAGCTAGAATAAGAGGGTGTTATTCTCGACTTGTTAGCATAGGAATATCGAGGTTCTGAAGCACTAGTCACCTATTGCTATCAGAAGCCTTCGAGTTCAAAGCACTATATCCAAGCTACTATACATGAGTATAGTTCCTAATGCTAAATACGCAACCGAGAGAGCTCTCAATTCATCAAGTATGCCTCTTGACGCTATACTCCGTATAGTAGCCTGCTATAGAACATAGTAACGCTAAACCTATGCAGACGAGTAGACTAAAAACTATTCATTATTCTCACGGCATACCAGCATCGAGCACTCTTCAAGCTATCGTTGTCGGACAGCATATTAAAGAAGAGCTCATATCCAGCTGACTCAGCTTTGCTGCCTAGGAAGGGCACTGCCAAATATGAGGCAAGAGAGGTGTGTAAGAGATGTGCATAACAGATGATTGGTTGCCTTGTCACCCGCTGTATTTCCCCTCGTATAAATCGGGAATTGATCACAGAACAACAATACCAGCTTTGACCATTAGACTTCCCCTGCTGAGGCATTATATAAGATGGAGGCTAATAGAAGAAGTTAACAAGTCTCAACCAACCGCTATGCGAATGTACCAAACACAATTGTGCCAAACAACAGCATAGGCTTCCGTCACCATCATGTGGCAGCGACAACGACCACCTCGCTATGAAGACTTCGAAATTGCCATCGTCTGCACGGATTCATTGTACTTTGAAGCAGTCACTGACTCGTTTGATGAATTCTTGCATCTAGATGGGGATGCAGATGGAGCAGCCCAAGACGATATGGTTATCAAGCCTGGCCGCATTGGCGAGCATAATGTTGTATTAGCTCTCTTAAATCACGTTGGCAAGGCGGGTGAAGTCCCCGAGGCCGACATCTGGTCCAAATGTACAGCGCTTAAGCTAGCCATCCTCACAGGAAGTTGTGGCGGCGTGCCGTTTATTAATAATGGCCAAGACGAGGTGTTCCTAGGAGACGTGATAATTGACGACCTGCCTTTCCACTACAATATTATCGATAATGAGGCTTTGCTTGAAATCAGGCAGAGTCGAAGGGGTCCAAAGCAACTCATCGAAAATTTTCGCAACTTCTCTATGATATATCGAACACAAGGCGGTCGAGATGATCTTCAAGAAATAACTTATGATTATCTCTCCGGCTCCCCAAAAAGGGATATGAAGCCTAAGGGCGAGAATTTATATCCCAGATCAATTGAGGACAAGCTGTTCGATCCAAGCTATCGTCATAAGCATCGCGGTCCAGCGACATGCATTTGCAGCAATTGCCATGGAACAAATGATCCCGTATGCGAGGAAGCCCTCGATGCGTCGTGCCATGACTTGGGATGCGATGACAATTGCACAATAGTGAGAAAAAGAAAGCAAGCTATGGGGAAAAGGGGGCATAAGCCGGCTATTCATTTTGGTAGTATTGCGTCGATTGATACAGCAATGAAGTCGGGAGAGGATCGCGACAGATTCTCCAAAGCAAAACGCGTTATAGCATTTGAGACGGAAGGAGTTTGGAGGTGGGAGCGCTTGCTATGCATTATGGTCAAAGGTGTGCGCGATTATGCCGACGGTCATATAAACAATGGTCGTGACCAGCGCGGATTTGCAGCGGCAACAGCAGCATCTGCAATAAAGGCGCTTCTAGAGAGTTACCGCCGGACGATACCGAGGGAGAATTTCCTGGTTCCGATTCAACGGAACCCGAACTTTACTGGCAGAGAAGATGTATTAAGGGAGCTTCTGGCAAAGATACATCCCGATGCAAACACGGATGGATGGTATAGAGGCGCTATTACAGGCCAAGAGGGTATCGGCAAGACTCAGATTGCGCTGGAAGCTGTCCATCGTCTGCATGAAGACCACCCAGACTGCTTCATCTTTTGGGTGTCAGCTAAAGACGCAATAACTTTTGAGAATGACTACTACGAAATTGGCAAACAAATCAAGATTGAAGGAATCGATAAGGATGAGGCTGATGTTAAGCAGCTTGTTAAGAGTGCTTTAAGCGAAGAAAAATGCGGTCTCTGGGTCTTGGTCATCGATGGTGCAGATGATTTAGAGTTGCTTGGGCTGTCATCCTATCTGCCATTCAGTCGAAATGGCTTCGTTTTATTTACAGTACGGACTCTTGAGGCACTAGGGCTGCATATCTCAGAACAGTACGTCTTTCCTCTAAATGTGGCGAACAGGAGAGGTGCACTCAGCCTCAGCGGAGCTATCGAAGAAAGCAAGTCTCGCTTCAGGTATACAAGGCATACAAAGAGTCCAAATCCTTATCTAGGGAAGCCGACATCGAGTTACGAAAAAGGCAGTGATTGGAGGAAAGCCGAAGAGCGAGACGTCGGCTCGATGAAGGTACAACCTGGAAAGTGGTCGAGTCCCGTTGTGCCAGTTGTCGATGACAACAGATCACAAAGCTCCAACGGCAACACAAATGAAGGAATCATCATGTTATTTTTAGCCGAACAGCCGCGATTCAAAGCACTGTGCAAGAAGGCTTTGGGTGAAATGGATAGGGATGATTTCGTTGAGATCATGAGCCGATTACTCACATTATTTCACATATGGTTGGTAGAAGAAGCCAAGTCTGAAGCGGAAAAGGCTGTCGCCGGGTTACTACAGAGTAAGAGAGACAGACAACGAATTAGCGAACAGCTTGCAGCATATATTGATTTGAGCCCTGAAGAAGTTCTAGATATCGACCAGCGGGCCTTGCCCTGCAGCTTTTCATTCTTCTCCGAACTGCAAAGATTTCTGTTAGCATCCAAGGCGTTTCAAAGTCTTCAAGTGCAGTTCGCGTTGATGTTTCTGAGCGCTGAATTGGGGGACGTGCTCCAATCAATACCAAAAGAGAATATCTGGCTATCTCAAGAACAAGACGTCTCAATCTCGAACCAATTCAAGACCTTGGTGGAGAATACCACCAAGGTGAAATGGAACTGGTGGCCCTTGAGCCAACGGAAGCGAGTACTTAACCTTGGAGAGTCGAGATTATTTTGGCAATGTGTGAGTACCTATACCTCATATGTTGGCAGGCAACCAATGAAGACTAAAGTGGAATAGACATGTGGTGTAGAGCGGTGGGAGGAAATATCTCGCGAACAACGCGAACTTGTTAAAACAATACTCGAGTGGTCAGATAACCATCCCTCGTTGACATCTCGATGCGGTGTGAGAAAGGCACAAGCAACGCCATTTTCTTCTATTAGAGGCATTTTGCAATATGCAGGCGAACAAGTTACCCGGCCATCACGAGCAGCTACCAGATACACTCCACAAGAAACCAGCTCTTTGACACCGCTTGAGAGCGTGCAGCTACAACCACTCGCAGGGGCGGTTCCCCCTCAACAGCAACAAGGCCCGACAATTGGCCAGCAGGCCCAAGTGACTATTCCGGATCCTAATAATAGTCTTCAATGGTGGATATTATTTGGCGTTAGAGGAGCGCGGCGAACGCTGGTGCCAACCCAAATTCATGTCACAAACCAGACGACAGACAGTCACATCTTTCAAGAGCTAAAGAGATGCTATATGATCTATAGAGGAAGGCTAAGACTATGGCTCTCAGTCTGGCGCTTAGATTACTGCGAGGTGGTCAAGGTACATTTACAGAACTGCTGCTAATCTGCGAGTTACTCTGCTGATATCATAGCTAGTTTAGTAGACTTACCCCTGACCGAATGGTTCGAGAGTACAGAGAGCTTCCATCTGACAAAGACTACCACTATGACCCTCGAGCCGGTGAACGAGATGTCAGAAACCCTCCTATTTCGCCTCACCACTTCCAAACTCTCTTTTACGCCTGCCAGTCGCCATGTACTTGGCCCTTTCCTCATGATTGCATACCCCTGGTTGCAAACACGGTGAATCTAGCCCGAATTCCGAAACGGACAAGAGAATTCGAGAAAGATCAGGGCTCACCTATTTGGGGGTTTGAAACTGTCTTTGCTGTTTCATTTAGCTACGTGCTTGCCTACCATCTTGTTATGGTCGCAGGACCATTCATATTTTGGGGACTCTGGATGAAATTCCATACCGATGACCTCCAGAATGCTTCTGTACCTATAACCGTCGTTATAGGTGCCCTGTCGTTGTTTTGGAGCGGAGCTGGAATACTGACAAGCCGAGAAAGGGAGTGAAACTTGCGCTTATTTGATGAAATGATGATACATAGACATAGTGATACATGTATGCAGTTAGAATGAGCGAGAGATGATGAACGCCGTTGCTGTTTCAAGCTTCATGAGATGTTCACTCTCTAGGATTACTAAGCTCCCGATATTGGAATGCTTGAACGTCAAGAGATGCCTCCAGAGCTGTAATAAAGATGGCGGGGTATTATGGACGGCTAATAGCTCTGCCCTCAGCTTGTTATTGGTATAAAAATAAAGCCACACCCGCCACGGTCTTTTCTGTGGTTGATATTAAGGTTCAAGAACTAAAGTTAGCTCCAACCACTACCGATATATCAGACAGATCAATATATTGTATGTTGTCCTGCTAGTTAGGCAACACAAAATGCCGAATGTGCCGAGAACAAGCAAAGAGATGCTGCAGTAGGAACAACATTGGGATGATTCTCGCAGAATACTTAATCAGAATCCATTTGAATCAGAAAGGAATCACCAATTGCTCCCGTCATCTTATACATGCCCTCGGTGGAGCATCGACGTATCCCTTACATAGCTCCAGCTTAGCTTCAACACCATGGCAAATAACTTTACGGCTCTTCTTCTCTCCAGCTTCTTCGCATTCAATCTCGATTCCACAAAAAAAAAGTATGGATAGTATTAGTTAGTACTATACCCACCCCCCAAATATATACCGATTCCCTAGGAGCAGTAAGTAGTAATTCGGCAGAGAGCCCTTGTTTAATCTTATTCAACATAACGCATAAAATCCCTTGCCCAGCCTTGCCCAGCATTTTTTGCCTCCGCTTGCTTGTTTTCTAAAAAAATAATAATCATATAACATGCCTTCTTTTTCATCAATTTCTTTACACTCTTCATCTTCATTCCCTCTCACACCATTATCGAAGGGACCGAAGCGTCTTGTTCGCCAACGACGACAACGCCGACTGTCCCCCATTGTTTCCCCGCCCAATGCTTTGCTGCGCTCGCCGTGCGGCAACATTGGGCGTGTTGGCACAGAAGCCACAGATGTACACGCTCGGCATGGTACGCCTGCTGATGTTGACGCATTTTCCGTGCAGCAGCATCTCGCATGACTCGCTAGAAACGGCTTCATGTCAGCAGGGCTCAACATCTCTCGGGAAACATCAAACACGGGGAACCTAGCTGGCACACTCAAACACCAGCAGGGAGCAAGGGATTCGAGATGATAACATACCATTGAACCATGTAGCCATTTCCTTCATCGGGCCCATTTCCACCACATACACATCGAACTCCGCGTCTATAGCTCGAGTCTGCCATGCTGACCGGAGATATGGAGCTTGCTTTGATTTTCCCCGAGCTGCTTGAGGTGAGAATGCGTTGCTGTGGCCGAGAGTTTTCAATCTGCATAGACCGCTTCTGACGGTCCTCTACCACTTTGCGCAGCTCGCTTGCTGCATCTCCTCCTCTTTCTTGATGATCGGTCAAAACCGTCTCGGCCTCGCTTTCTCCGTCATTTTGCGTCACGAGAGAAGGGGTAGATGCACTCCTGCTCCTATCACTGATACTCCGGCGGCCCGAATGGAATATCGAGCCTACTGGCTTGCGTGGGTCCGGTAAAGCAAAGGATGCATTGAATGAACTGGCTCGGCTGGGTATAATAATTGGTTCCTCATCTGTGGAAGACTCGTCGTCAGAAGACTCCCAGCTTCTTCGTGTGGAAGACAGTTCCCGGGAGCTTCGGCTGCGAGTTATGCCACCAGCTTCTTCGACCATGACCGTGGTTTCCGCTCGAGCCCGTCCATGTGCGTCTATAGTGAACCTCACCGACGTTCGAGGTCGACTCAGGTGTGGCTGAGAGGCAGACTCGGGGATAGATGCCAGGCTTGACAGTCGCCGTTGGCTCTTTAGTGGTGACATCCTCCCAGACGCCGACGATCTCGACGACTTTCCCGCTTCTGAGCCAGCATTTGAACTTCCAGCCTGTGACGATGGCCGTGCAGCGGGTGCCAACGTCGGCAATGCCCCTCGGCCCCCTGCCTTCTTTGTTCGACCCTCACTCAGGCTACGATTCAATTCTGGGCGGCCCATGGCCTTGACGGGAGAGTTTGTACGGTCTGGCATCTTGCCCCTCTTCACCTCCTTCAGGCTGTTGGTCCGGCGGGATTGAGGCATGATGCGAGAGTTGTTGGCCTCTGCAGCGGCAGCCATATCTGTAGATGCCGCATTCATAGCCGGATTGAAGTCGGCATTCATCGAGGCCGTTGGGGGTCGGCTATATAGCAATCCTGGGTCCACACCTTCCATAGGAGTACCTACGCCAAACGAGTCTTCCATCGATGCTTGAAACATGGCAGTTGCTGCTACGGGGCCAGCAGACTGACCAGTTACCGGTGGCTTGGGCGCCAACATCCTCTCCCTTCGAGCAGGCTGGTGCATGCCTTGGGCGTTTGGCTGAACATTTTCTTGGTTCGATGATGGTGGAGGAGGGGGCGGGACGGGGTCTTGAAAGAGCTGAATGTCGCTGTTCCAGTCAAAGGATCCGGTATGGCGATGCGAGGGCTGGAAGAAGGTGGCGCCGGCAGTGCTAAAGTCCAGGTCCATGCCCATGGCCGGGTCCCAAAAATTGGCCTGGCTTGGGGGAGCAGACATGGGATAGACAAACATGTCATCAGCGCCGCCCATCATGGCAGCCATATCGTGGTGGCCCTGAAAGCTGTCGCTAAAGTCCGGGTGACCGTAGGCCCGGTCATCTTGCATGTTGACCTTTGGTGCGAGCTTCTGGCCGCCCTTGTGAGCCGACGGCGGCGGCGACAAAGGCTGTGCTGCGTCGGAACCTTCAATTGTACCCCGGCGGAGCTTCTTGGGAGACTTGGTGTGTGAGGAGGAAAAGGCAGGGCCGAGGTGTGCGTCGGAATTGGCAGCGGCGGCTGCCTTTGTAGATAATATCAAAGCGGCCGGAGAGGAAGGCAGACGTCGTGAAGGGTCGACGGGCGGCGGTGGAAGGTTTGGGTTCGACGGCGGGATGTTGGCTCGGGTTGCAATCTCGACAGCTAGCTCTTCGACGGAAAGCAGGCGCTTGTGCCCTAGATACGACGATGCGAAGGGAGTGGTGGGCACAAAGTCAGCAAAGGGAAACTGAGCCCCTCTCAGATTGCCCGGCGTTGCGTTGAAGACTGAGTATTCCTCGGCAAAGCGAGGCGTCAGGCCGCTGGTGTCGGCGAAGGATCCCTGGGGGGGCTTCGGCGTCTCGAAAATAGGGCTCGGAAATGCACCCGATGTTGGAGTCTGCTTTGGCGTGGGCGGTGGGTGAGCGTTTGGATCTCCAAAGCTACTGCTGTGCGGAGTCAACAAGATTGGTTAGCCAAGTGCTGGAGGGAGCGGAGGGCAGGCATGCTTTAGAGTGTTCGCAAGGCGGACATGCCTTGATACTAGCTGTTGATCCTCGCTCATATCAGCTTGAATTCCTGTTGGCTATGAGAACCCAGACACAAGCATCCCAGTGCGTGCACCGCCAATTCGGGCCGTGGGGAAAAGGCCTGGAAAAAAAGAAGTGGGAGACAGCAGAGATTGTATAATCGTTGCAAGGGAGGCTTCAATTCCCCTTTGATGCAAATAATAATAAGCGGTTGTATGTGATTCGGCGTCGTAGAGGGAGGGCGGTATAAGATCAGGTCTGAGGGTGCGGAAAAGGTGTGCAGGCGACGGTTGAAGGTGTGGTGGTGGTTGCTTGGGCAATATTGGCGTACAATCGCAGTGGCTCGTTTCTCATTATCCAAAATGCTCGTTAACGGTCATGACAAAGATGCAAAAGGTCGTGGAAATCCGGCACTGGCTCTGCAAAATGCAAAGGGGTCAAAAGAAACAAGAAAGAAAAGAAAAGAAAAGAAAAAACTGGTCTAATTAGCTTGCTTGCTACGGCGTTTCAAGAGAATCCCATATGAGGCCGTGAAAAAGGGAGTGCATGGAGGGGAGAGGGAGAGAAGAGGGTCTTGTCTTACCGGAACAGCAAAGCAAAGCAAGACGCAACGCAAAGGAGAGCAACAGGTTCGAACGGGGGAAAATCAAGGGAGGCAAGTCTTGTCCTAGAGCTCCACAGAGCATCAACCTGCTATTCAAGGGCGGAACAGCAGATGCAGTGGCAAACAATGGACGAAGCAGGACAGATTGGAGGGAGGAAGGGAAAAGAAAAAAAAGAGTTGCGAGGATAAGAGAACAGAAGGCGGAGAGAGAAGCACTGGTTGAGTTGAGGAACCGAGAGTACAAGTGCAGTGCGCTGCAGTGCAGTGTAATGCAGTGTAGTGCAGCAGCTGGTGATGTTCTGACCCGGTAGAATCCAATCCGTCCAGGCGCTTTCTAGGCAGACGAGCCCCGTCCAGCTCGGTAAATTTTCAGAGGGCTGCTGAAAATGGAGCCGCAGTGCAGCTGATGGGGGCGGCGCCAGTGGAAGCGATACAGCAGACGATGGCCTTTTTAGTGGGAAAAGACGTCAGCAGGCGGCTTTTTCTTTCTTTCGGCCTGGTGCTTTCTCTTATCCTATTGAATCAATTCCTTGTTAACAAGATGCAGAGCATTACGGGGAGAGATCAATGGATCGATCTGGCGTGATTTCAGCGGCATGAATGTTTCTCCCTGGACCAAGACATGCAGCATCCGTCGGTGCCCTTTTTGCTGTGAGTTGGGCTTTTGTTTACTTGCAGCCGCATGCTGGTTGTCTGGTGTCTACGGATACGGATTAGATAAGGCAGCACCCCGTTCAATGCTCGTAGTCAATATTCGGACACTTTTCTCCGCATCACCTCACTTTGGACCTCGGCCGGCATCGTTCGTCTTATATCTGATTCATCTCAACTAATATCCCCCATCCCGGCTCTCTCTCTCTTTCTCATCTTTGGCCCGTTGCTCATATCACAAACCCTTTGCGTGCTTCGACCAGCTGGACTACTGACTCCTTCAAAGCCGCCGCCGTGCTGCAATTTACAGCCCGGGCCGGAGCTCCAACGCCATGATGGCGGTTTGGCAGCGTCTTTTGCCTAATCTGGGCCAAGTGCTCTCCACCATGGATCCCACCAGGTGGATTAGTGGCAGTAGAATGACACGATAAAAATGGCTGCGTAGCTGCACAATGGTGGCTTCTGCTAGCTAATGGAGATGTCAACCCACAGTGACTGACTTGATGCCGAGAATTGATTAAAATCGATGGATATCAGATGGATATTGAAGAAGAAAATAAAAATGGAGCGTTTTCACTTCCACAGCAACGAGACCAGACAGACAGCTTTACTCTTGTTTGTCAGTTGCTTCATTCGGCCTTTTGCACGCACAAAGCTCCAAGCATCTAATCCCGGTCGCTGCTTATCTTTCATAACTCAAGATCCGATAACGCCGCATATCCGTTCCGCTACGGGCCAATATATTACTCTGGCATGCGGCCAAGCATCTTGGTATTACCGATCAGACAATTGGCCTGCTGCTTGTTGGAGCTCTAGCAGTTGTCAAAACTCCAGAGCAGATTAATAAATTGCAACAAAAAGAAGCAAAGGGATTTCGCAACAAGCTCATCAGAGCTCCTGTTGCAGCAACCTTGTACCACCTTAGGCGCTGTCCTGAGCCTTCCCTGCACCTTGCCACGTCAGAAGCACACGATAACTCACGAGACATTAATGCATTTCCGTTTGCTGCCTTTTCTTCCGTCCTCAACTCCAAAATAGACTGCATAATGCATCGAGTGTGTACAGTATAACCAACCGACGTGCCATATAAGAGATGCTATGCACAATTGTCTTGATTTTTCCATTTTCAACTTTACTCCCAGCACATGCACCGGTCAAACCCGATCTCGATCTTCCCCAGACCCAAAACTCATCAACTAGGCAGACACGCTATGCCGGGAAAAGGTATGAGCCTGTGCACTTGGTCATGCACAAAAACGAACACCTTTTTTTTTTTTTTTTTTTTTAAGCGAAAGCCCTCGTGGCTTTCGGCCATGAACAGATGACAACGAGCGGCACAAATTATGTTTATTTAGCACATGTGACTCTTTCATTCGGAGAAGAAAAAAAAAAGAAAACTTTAACAGCAATCACAAAGTCATCTCTCAGCCTGTGGATCTCACCAAAACTCAACGACAAAAAGATGTGCAAACCCGCTGCCAAAACTCACGAGACCCAACCCAACGGATCCATCTCTCTGCTGCTCCGGTAGCCAAACGCAGCTAGTGGCTGATCTATCAACTTTTCTCTCTCTTCTCTCTTGGAACGATACGATGCACTTGTCCGTAGCCAAATTAACGCATTAATCGATATCATGCGAAGTGCGGATCCATCCAAGCCCACCACCCATCTCCGGCCATATCCGCGCAAAGAGGAGCAGCAAAAGTAACTATTGGATGCCGTGCAGCAAAAACATCGAAGCTAAATAAAAAGCTGATCAAATCGTTCGCTGGCTTATCGATTCAAAGGGGAAGCATCGTTCGAACGGCTTGCTTACCCGTTGATTAGCTGAGACCCGCGCGGTGAAGAAGGGGGAATAATTGTCTCATCAGGTTTTGTTCGGCGTATGGCGTACCTGCATTTGCCATTCAGCGCTAGCGGGTGTAATTGGTCTCGCCGTGAGACAGTTGTAACCATTTTATTCTTTTATATTTCATGGTTCAGGGTATATTTGCTGCTTTCTTTCTTGCTTCCTCGTACTAAGATCAGTAAGCATCAAGTTCAAGACTTCGGTATAAGCCGCATGTCCTCACATACAAAGCACACGCATGCGCATTATAGCTCAACTCCCACCGAACCTCCACCTCCAATCCCGGAAAAAGCATGGCTTCCCTGCCAACCGACAGCTGAACATCCCTCTCAACAAACACTCAACATCTGCTTACTTACACACGTTGTACCAACTAACATCAATCTCCTTGCCCAGTGACATGGCCCAGCAATAAAGACAAAGAAAGGGTGTTCGAGTCCCATGTATTTTGCCGACGTACGTCCTTGATCCCCATGCGCTGCATAAAGATTGAACCCAAACTACATTTTAAAATCCGTAGGTACGTTACAGTATAAAGCCCCCCCCCCCCCATGGCTCTCAGCTGCGCGGCATCTTGCCGAGGTGGGCTGTGCACCTCATTTTTCTAACCAGGTTTCCCATGTCAAAAAAAAGTAAAAGCGAATCAATAAATCTCTTCGCTTCTCCGTCCGTTCATGCGTCATATTCGACCATACATACAACGCTGCTTTATGATACCACCTGTGTGTATTTTCGATCACATGGCACGTTGTCGTTATAGACAGGATCAAATACAAAACACACTTATACATGCAAGCCCCTCAAAAGGAACCCATCCAGCTCCGAGATGAGCCCACCAACAGCAAACATTGCTGCTGTCCTTCCATCGTTTCCAAAACTGCTAATCTGTTTCTTCAGCCGCCCCTCCCCAGCGCGCATAATACAGCATAATATTAGATTTGCCTTTTTGGAGGGGGAGGATTGGGATTCAGACCAGGGGGGGTGGCCCGGTTCCAGTTACCCGCATTGAGGTGTGTGTGGAACTTTATGGAGTCAATACACGCCCTCGTATCGGTGCTTTTTTACAGGCGGTTAGTTGACAAGGGGAAAAAAAAAAGATAAAAACTGATATAGGAGCTAAAGAAGAAACAAGAAGAAAAAAAAATACCCCAAACTATATAACAAAAAGTAGTTTCCTCCATTATTTATAAGAAGAAGAAGAAACGAAAAACAAAAAAGAGCCTCTATATATCCCGTGGTATATCCCCCCCCTTGCTTCTCTGCTGACCCGCAGCGCTGAAATATCCCAGTCTGGTTCCTCCCGTTTCCCTTCTCGTGAGATCATATCCAATGATTAATCCCCAATATAACCCTATACTCGATGTGTCCATTCTATGTCTATTTATATAAAGCGTGAGAAAGCGTAAAAAAAGGTATCAATGATTGGTATCCCGTGATCGTCGTCTTTGTTTTGTGCAAGGTTTTGATAAAAAAAAGTCGTTTGTTTGCCTGAGAATAAAAACGGTTGGTGTGTTCTGAGGGAGAGACTGGGAAGGGAAAGTTTTTCTAGTAGGAATAATAAAAGAAGCCAAGAAAGGTAGACAAACAAGGTTGATCAAGAAGTTGTAAAAGAAGAGAGAAAAGTAAACAATTTGGTTAGGAGACGAGTGTAAAGAGTGGCATAATCAAAAAGAGAAGAAAAAAAGAAAAAAGCAAGGAAACAAATAAGGGTATCGCGACGAGCTTTCCGTTGCCGCGTAATCTAGGTTTCATGCGTCTCTATGGGCATTCAGACTTTCCAGAACGTGACGCATGAGTTATCGAAACAAAATTAAGGAAATCGTTGAGTTGCAGTCTGACTGAGTCAAAATAAAAAAGGAGATAAAAAGAAGAGATAAAAGTGACGAGGGAGAATGTAAAGACGACGTGTAAGGAGAATAAACAAGAAGAGTGAGTGAGTGTGTATGTGTGTGTAGTTATTAAGGAAATTCAAGGCATGACTGATTAGATCATGCCAGTATACGACTCCATAGGCGTCGTTTGCGATCGAACAGAGCTGGATCTCTGCGGCATAGCACCAGCGGGCGCTTGAGTCTGCTGAATCGGCATGTACGAGCGAGAGTCCATGGGCTGGCCGGGCATGGGCATCGAGGCCGTCATGGCTAGGCTTGGTGCGTCGATTCCAGAAACCGGAGGAGAAGACATCTGAGACGCCATTGATCGGTGCGATTCTGGTCTTGGTCCATCGGGCATGGGAGGCATATGGCCACCAACTTGGCTTTGGCTGTTGTCTCGGCGGCGTTTGTGGGCGTCTTTGGCTTTGGGGTGCGTGTGACACTACAATATTTTTCGTTAGTAACTGATACCCAAGGAGTTTTTAAGACTAAAGGCCACCGTATTTACCTTGTATGCATGTCTAAACCAAGTCGTCCCCTTCTTTTTGCTGCTGACAAGTGGGATCCAGTCGTTACAGCTTCCACAAAGCCCCTCCCAAATATCCGGGTTGCCATTCATGCGTCTCGAGTCCAGAGGCTCCTGGAAAGGAGTGCCGGTTGCCGCGCTGATGCCATGCGAGAAAGACTTGTCGTACCAGAAAGCAGAGTTCTTCAACACCAACCATCGCCCAGGCTTGCAAATGCCACACCATCCCTCCCTCTTGTTGCCGTGTCCCCTAACCCAGCGCGGGGTGTACAAGTCGTTTTCAAATCGCAGCTCCTGCTCATAGGGTACCATCTCGGGATCCGAAGGGTTCATGTCCTCCGGTGGCGGGGGGGCCTGCTCTTCCTGAAGGCAGCCAAACAAGTCCGGAGGGTCCGAGAGATCTGCGTAGAGGCCGGTCAAGGGGTGCGGCTCGCCGTTGCTTTGGAGAACTCGTAGGAGGCCGTGCGAAGGCAGAGTCGGTGGTGTAGCCACAACGCCGTGCGTCTCGTTGTGGTTGTAAAAGTACGAAGGCACCTGGGTCGGCAACTGAGAGGCAAGGACCATGCTGTTCCGGTTGAAAGTCGAGGGGCCGGTCATCATAAAAGGCGGTCTGCCGTTGATTGGCTGCGCGTTGGGGAACATGCCCGAGGCGGCGGGCGTAGGCAGGGACTGGTACGAGTATCTCTGAGGAACGCTAGGAGGAGAATGATAGAGCGCAGGGGAGGGCCTTCGCTGGGCCACGCTGTAGGAGCCGGTGGACCAGCGCTGCTTGTTCCCTCCTCGAGTGATGTCGTAGGGGGCAGTCCGCATGCTGGGCCGGGGAGACGGCGAGGCGCGGCCGCGGCTCTGGGTCCTGACCTGCTCGGGGCGAGTCTGGGGGGTCAGGCGAGGAGAGGCCACGGGAGACAGTTGCGTGGACGACATGAGGGACGTTCTGTTTGAAGGAGGGGGATAGTCAGAGTTGATTGATCGAACCTCGGAGAGAGCGGCAGAGAAGTCTTCGTACGAAGGCATGTCGGACAGGGCCCCAGTTGTCGACATGGCAAAGGACGAGCCGGACATGCGGTGGCTGGCCACGCTGCCGTCCAAGTTCGAGTTGTCATGCGACGGGGTCGTGTACCTGAGATCAAGAATGGGCACGGCGTCGTCAGTGGTGTAAGCCTGGCCGATGGGCGTTTCCGAGTCCAGGACGGGATGATGTTCGTAGTTGTCTGCGAGTGGCTTCTGAGCCCACCGATTCGATGCATCGGACAGGGCAAAGCCGTTAGCATCTCGAGAGACTTCGGCACTCATCATGGCGTTGAGGGGGTAGATGCCCTGGGCCATTGTGACCGGCGCGGCCACGGCATCGGTAGATCGTTGCTGAATCGACGACGAGGTTGGGTGTTGTTCCCAGGCGTTTACGGGCTGGCTTCCATCCTTGATGTAGTAGCTGAGGCTCTCTTGAACAGTTGTCGGCACTTGTTGCGGCTGGGTCGCCGGCGGCATCCAAGACATCCCTGCCGGCTGCATCTGCTCGCCTTGGGGAATGTCGCTGATGCTTAGTGTATTGATTTGCGGCTCTTGAAGAGCAGCATCGGAAGCGCCCTTACTGTTTGCACCTCTTGAGTGAGAGAAGTACTTTTGAAAGTGTTGTCGACTTGAACAGGGGGGGACACAAGTAAGTATCGATAGACGAGGATAATATGTGAAGGAGAGGCAACATACAATCCATTGTGACTAGGCTCCATAGCTAATTATAGATAAAAGTCGATGGACTCTCGGCACTCGAAGGGATTTTTTTTTGCTCTTAATAATCTTAAACGGTCGAGACTGATGGCCAGGTCCTATTCGCTGATCAGCGGGCGCCGTTGGAGACGGTCATGCAACACCGTTTAGGCAAAGGGAACCGGGGTTAAGGAGACTGTGTTGTCAATGGCACAACCAGGGTTCCCTTTCTTATAGAGTCTTTGCCACTTACACTAATCCGTGATGGCGTCAAAGTATAGTTGATATCGTAGGGTGTCTTTCCAGCGGCCAGAAGAGAGAAAGGAGTGTCCAGAGCGGCCGGATGGAAAGAAAAAAGGATCGTCTAGCTTTTGAGAGAGGGGAGGGGGGGGTACACTCAAAAGGTCCACGTCCAAGGAGAGAAGAGGGGTGGTTTATCCAAGAGGAAAAGAGAGAAAGGGGGGGAAGGGACAAGGAGGGACGGACAGCAAGAGGCTGGCCAAGTGCTAGTGAGGGTAGTATATGGGAAAGTTGGCATGTAAGATTAATGCAGATGAGATGAGGGAATCGTAAAAAGATCGTGAAGCGGCCCGCAGGAAAGTGATAAATGAACGGGAAGAGAACCGGCCTCTCAATTCAGTCACAGGAGGAGGGGGGAGATTAAGAGTGACGGGGCAATTCGATGCGATTACAGCAGATCGAATTGGATGATTGATTCCGGAGAGAGCGAAGGTCCCTCGGGCAGGGGACGATGTATAAGTCATAAGTCGTCCGCAGGCACCCTGAGCAGAGCCGGACTGGCATCCACCCCCAGCGAAAACAAAAATACCACCATGCTCTTGTGGCCCTACTCCGTGCTTCGTATGTAGTTTGAGCCAAACTGACGGGGCCCAGGCTTTAGAACGCTGAATGCCGGTCCCGTTGCAAGACCCCCGGCAGCGCCTCTCGCGATCCCAGGAGCCCAGTATGGGGTGCAGAGGAGCCGGGCTTACAGCCAGCCCAGCCCAGCCCAGCCTGTCTGTACCTCGGGTCTGTACCTACATGGACATACATTACATGCGCGAACGGCCGTCGGCTCTCTGCATTGGCGTACCCGCAAGGCACAGACAGGAAAGTGGGCAGAAAGAGGATTGGGAGACAGGGGTAGCCAGGCTGGGGGTTTCAAGGAGCTGCTGGACCAATCAGCAAGCCACTGCTGAGATCGGCCGCAACGCGCCTCTGGCCTCAAGTTAAGCCAAAAGAATGGCGCTGAAACGATTCGAGAGAGCGAGTGAAACCAATCAAGGTAATAAACGGCCCCTTCTCGTTAGGTAGAATCGAATAAATCCGCTGCTGGACACGTCAGACGACTAAGAGCGCGTCTACATACGCCGGCAGAGAGCGAGAAGAAGGCTGAAAGTTGAGCATTGGGAACAGTAGTCCGGGACTGCACGAGTGAGTATAAGCCGTCAATCCAATCCAATTCAATGCCCCCCCAGCGACTAGTTAGTCTGCTCCGTAGTCTAG